TAAAAGCAGGGTCAACTCTATATACCAGGGTGTTATCTGGATTCCTCTCCACAGCTGCCAATCACAATCATACCACAACGACCCGTCGCTTGCACTTTTCTTTTTAACAGGATGGTGGTTCAGTGTGTGCACTCTAACATGCTCAGGAAATGTTTCAGCTCCCTTGAAAAACCTCGTGCAACGGCCTCTTGGTCAGGGTGGTAAAATGGTCCTGCATTTGTCGGAGGATGTGGTTAAAGAAGCTGTACTGGTGAAGCAACACCGGTCATTATAGATCAGTATAATTAAGAGTATTTTAAATGTGCCACTGTAGGATAAGCAAATAATGCCCTGTCACGCATCATTAGTTCTGTTTAACTTGTCGAATGGCAAACAAATGCTTCGCTGACATTTCCTAAAGGGGAGGAAAGCCTGCGTGAGTACATCTCACTATAACAGTCAGTAACATGAGATGGGGAACCACACAACCGCTAAATCAGTCAAATGGGAGGCCAGAGTCACTGTAATTTGGGAGAGAGCTGGTTAACCACTCCTCATAATGGATGGTGTTTCTGTTTAGCCTAAGGCGTTGGAGCTGAGGTCATATGCAAACAAGGCAGATCCAAAGCCTTGGCTTTAACACAGTGAAAAATGCTTCCCTCCACTTGTTTGATCACTAAACTACATTTGCATAAATATCATGCAAATATTAAACAAAAAAGGTAAGTTCCTAACTGCTTCTATTATTAAAGTCTATGGAGAAATGTTAATATTCTACTCATTTTCCAATGCCAAAATGTTTGCAACACTTTCATCTAATGTACTTTGTGAAACAAACTGTCTCACATATTTGTGAGAAATATATGATTGATTTGCCTTCAGGACACATATTTAGTAACCATAACAATAAAATCATCCTTATTACCATTCATTTAAAAGGAGAAGTGTTTCTTTTTTCTGCAACTTACTTGGACCTTCGTGTGTCTTGCACCATTTTATAGCACTCTATTATTTCTTTTTATTTGATGTCCTAGTATAGTATGTTGCATCCTTTGAGGAGCCTGGAACTTTTATTTCTATTGCTGTAGCCATAGTACATATAACAATAAAGCTTTGATTATTTGAGACATGTCATCTACATACTGTAGATACGGATTACCACACACACCTTTAGACAAACATTAGAGCTGATACAATAGTCTATATACTCAAAGACACTCGATACCTGAAATTACATTGAATCAATCAGCAGCTATTTTCATAATGGAGTAATCAAGCAAACAATGCCAAACACTAGCTTGCTCCAGCTTCTCAAATGTGTATTCACTACCTTTGTTTCTGAACTGCTGGTCTGACACAACAAGCAATGTGAAGACATCACTTTGGTTTCTGGGGAGTTGTGATGCACAATTAAGAAAATAATCATTAATTCAAACGCTTGTACATGTCGTCGTCATGACAGCTCTACTGCACCCTTGTATCTTTTGTTCCTACATTTTATTTTTGCGTGAATGTCCCTTTAAAGGATTACATCATCGTCTTCACTCCTTTTTTCCCTCAGCACATTTCCCAGTGTTCAGCCTTTTCTGCCCAGAGACAATTGGTTCATTCACCGGTGTATAACACTGCCACCTCCTGATCCACGGTTCCATCGACACACCTTTCACTGGCAGGTTTAGTCCGTCATGATATCATCCATCACACCTCGGATCACAGTGCTAAAAAACAAACTGCGTTACCGTATTGATGGCAGTTTTCATTATCACATGACACAGTGCCTTTGTGGTAAGAACATGTACAGCAGATGCTTTATGTTCATGAATCCACTATGAGAGCTGATTTGGTGCTTTCAGTGTGTGCTTCGGTGTTCATAGTGCTGTTGCGGCATCTAGTGGCAGAACATAAGAAAGAAACTCTTACTGTTACTCCATTATCCATAGACTCAAGGACCAGTCAAACTGTTCCCCTCATTGTAAAATGCCTGTTGCTTCCTGTTTGTGTTATTTTTTTTGAAGTTGCTCAGTAGCTCTTTGTGTTGCCAACCGGGTCAGTTGACATCCACGAGTCTGTGACTTTAAGAGGCGCTCGTTCATAACACCACTACACAGCTTCCATGAACACTTAATGTCTCTTTGAAAAAGCCCCATGAAAAGCAAATGCTGGAGGGAAGATTTTTCAGCACAAAGAGATGTTGTTTGGCCACACAAAAATCCCCTTCTGAAAATATTGCACGAGCTTTTAAATATCCTCAGTAATAAGCAGAACAAAATTAACAAACATAAGTAGGCCTGCCATGACAAACAATAAAGAATATCATTTACATTTTAAGACCCTCTTATACAACTGATATAATAATGGTAATTATATAATAGCATAGTAATTCAAGAGCATGATCTAGTTAAACATTTAAAAATGATCTAGATCATGTCTATATATAGCGCGATATGTTTACAATTCAAAGTTTATCAATTTGATTAATAAATATGGTTCATTTCATGTCGTCAGTAAGTCAAAAAATATCTACATTCATTTATCGTGTGAAACGACACCCATAAGCAAGCCTGTCATTTACACTTGTTGAATGATTTATTGTCCCAGAAATATATCTGCTACCTGTGGACGATAAATTGATTACGTCAAAAACTGATTGAGGATATGACCATATGACTTACGATAAGTTAAAGGTCCCATGACATGCTTGTCCGGTTATTACCTGTCCCCTTGTGTTTTATGTAGCTTTTTATGCATGTAAACGGTCTGCAAAGTCACAAACCCTCAAAGTACACCCTGTAGCGAGTAAAACTCTAACACAGAAAATACCTGTCTATGCTGCCCCAGAACGCCTCGTTGGAGATTTCTCTTTTTCCATTGTTTTCTTCCTGGGTACAGTGACGTGCCCATACCCAAATGGACCAATCCGTGGAGCCGTTACGTTACGTCCGTGGAGCCGTTACACAGACTCAATCTTTTCTCAGCTGCAGCTCCGCCGATTTCTCCTCCCTGAGATGGGGGCACGCGGCGAGGCTGTGAGTTTGTGTTTGAGCACACACACAAACTCACAGCCAGGCTGCGGGTGTGTGTGTGTGTTCGGGCTGGGTTTCGCTGTGTCTCGCTGTCTCGCAGACGGCCACTGGGCTCATAGGGGGGGGCAGGAGCTCCAACAAGCCGTTTAGGACAGAGAGTGAATACACATACTATACAGAGATGCTGGATGAGAAACCAATGTGAGTTTGGAAAATTGAACAGTATAAATCTGTTTGAGTAGACCTCAACAATGGAATTATGATCAGTAGCAATGGCCATGACAAGGGACCTTTAATCATTACATTTTTTTATTTTGATAATGTTAAAATGATCTGGGTCTTGAGAGTCTACCATACAAGTAATCAATAACGCAAAAACTCCTGTTAATATATATTGTACGATAAGTCAGTAACGTTAAAATTATCGAAGTCATGTCAGTATATCGTCAGTAAGTTAAAAACGTATTAATTATTTAGGTCATGTCATTATATCGTAGGATAAGTCCTTAACGTTAAAATTATCTAGGTCTTGTCAGTACATGGTCAATAAGTCGATACGGTTAAAATGATTCAGGTCATGTCACTATATGGTACAATAGGTCGATAACCTCAAAAGGATCTAGGTCACATCCATGTATCGTACAATAACTTGGTAACGTAAAGAGAGGACATTTACATTTGTTACAGAGCCAAAGATTGCTTAATATTAATTAAGAAGCATGCATAAAATATTTAAAGATAAAAGTAGAAATTACACAATTTAAAATTTACAAAATATCCATCCAACCTATTTAAAGGTACATTCATGATGATAATCACACTTTTGGTCTAATGATATTTCACTTTCCTGCACATTTGATTATCTCTGGGTTTTTTACGTCACTAATTCAGGAAATTAATTCTGTGTGAAACAGGGATTCTTAAATCTGGCTTTAAGCTCACACGTCTAAAGGTAGCAAAGCAGACATCAAATATCTCATGTTATTCCTCATGGTGATGTTAGACAATGTAAAAATTAAGGTACATTAGTCCTAAAAAAATAAGAAAAGCTTTTAGTTAACCTGGAGCTAATTCTATTCGTACTTTTTCTAGAAGTTTCTGCCTAAATATTTTGCAACCAGTTATTCTTCTTGCCCTTCTGTTCCACCTTGTCCCACCTGAAGCCCTAAAACCTCATAGAAAATAACTGTCACTCACTCATTATGTGCCAAAACAAGCTTCAGAACAAATAGTCTTAAAAACAAACTTTTCTGAATATGTACTTTATTGTAAACAGAGCTCACAGTATTTTGCCGCCTATTAATGCAGGCAGAATTAATGAGGCTGTAATTCCCAGACAGCCAGGTGGTAACGTTTAAATGCTTCAAAATCAGCAACATAATTACCAGCACAGCCAGATGTGCCATACTTAAAGGTCCCATGTCATGGCCATTTCTACTGATCATAGTTCCATTGTTGAGGTCTACTAGAATAGATTTACATTGTTCAATGTTCCAAACTCACATTGGTTTCTCATACAGCATCTCTGTGTAGTATGTGTCACGATTCTCATGTTATGTCACGTTTAGAGTTTTGTAGGTTTGGGTGTTTTTGCTGTTTTCCATGTCATGTTTTCCTTTGGGTTATTGTCTTGTCATTAGTTTCCGTGGTGTGTCTAATGGTCTGATTATGTTCACCTGGGCCCCTGTGTTTTCTCCTCCCTCCTCACCTGTGTCTTGTTGTGTGATTGAGTCTTGTGTGTATTTAAGTTCTGGGTTGTCTGTCTGTCTTGGTCGGTTCGTCTTGTTCCCTGACTAGTTCTACGGTGAGTGTTCTGTTTGTCATTGTACATATATATCATAGCCTTGAAATAAAGGAAGTTTCAGTTTATATCTGCATTTGGGTCCTGCTTGTTTCACAAACCGTGACAGTACGAACCGACCAAGAAATGGGCCCAGCAGATCCGTTCAAGTCGGAATTATTAAATGTTTCCTTTTTTTTGGCTAACTGCTCGGATAGATGGAAGAGAGCACCCGGAGTTCAGCAGCGGGAGGCTGTGTTGTCGGAGGCGCGCCAGATGGCTAGAGAGAAACCAGGTATGGTGAAGTTCTTACCTGGCTGGATTTCAAAGATCCTCCCTGTGTGTGATTCCCGGCCTGCTAGCCCCAGGCATGCTAGCTCCCGGCCTCCCAATTCCCAACCTGGCACCATACGCCTCGGTGGGTTCCGTCTGCAGTCAGCCCGTGCTTCTGCCCCAGTTCCTGCTCCTGTCCAGGAATCATATTCTGGAACTCGTCTGGCTTATGGAGGTCCACGGAGTTTTCAGGCGGCTGCTAAGAGGAGGAGTCGCAAGGCCAAGCTAGCAGCTCAAGCCCCAAGAGCCATGGTTCCAGTCCCAGAACAGGCCCCAGCAGCCATGGCTCCATGCTCCAGTACCGGCCCACGCAGCTTTGCTTCCATACTCCATTACCTGGCTTACACAGCCAGGATCCAGGCTTCGGCTCCGGACCTTACAGCCATGTTGCCGGCTCCAGAACAGGACCTTACAGCCATGTTTCCGGGTCCAGAACCGGACCTTACAGCCATGTTTCCGGCTCCAGAACCGGACCTTACAGCCATGTTTCCGGCTCCAGAACCGGACCTTACAGCCATGGTCCCGGCTTCAGTGCCGGCTCCAGTAACCATGGTCCCGACGCCAGCTCCCCGAGTCCTGTCGGCGTACCGGCCGACTCCAGCTCCTCGTCTCCGGTTGGCTGTCCGTCCGACGCCAGCTCCCCGTGTCC